GGGGGCGAGGGTCAGTCGCGAGTCAGGACCCAACCCCAAACGCGTGTATACTCATGTGCGTATGCATATACGCATGTGTGTATGTGCGGGGAGGAGGGGCGGGCGGATGAAGAGGAAAGCTGGCGCAGGACGTACCGGCATCAAAATCGTCCTCCTTCTTGGAGGCGGGCTTGCGAGTCTCACTCTCATCGTAGCCGTAGAAGTCCTTGCGAGACTTACCCCAAGCACGCGCAGAGAGGGCCTCCTCGTCGGAGTCCGAGTTGTCCGAAGGATCAAAGGGATCGTCATCAGCCTCGGCGGGGGCAGACTCTGGAGGGGCAGCGGGGCAAAGAGGTGCGAGGCGTCAGCGAGCGAGCGAGCAAGGGAGAGAGAGAGGGGGGGGGCGCGCGCCGAGGCGCAGCAATGTCGATAAAGAAGACGCACTCTTTGCCTTTTTGGCAGCCTTCTTCCCCTTGGCCGGGGCGGCCACCGGCAGGTCGGCATCGGAGTCGGCATCGCTGCTCGGCAGGTCAAGGTCGAAGACCGGCTCATCCAGGATGGCCAGATCCTCGTCCTGAGCTGTGGACAGGGGCGTGTTAGCATGGACAAATGGCAGGAACTGCATGGGAGGTGCGTACAGGCGCGCACACGTGCACGTACACATATCGAAGTGGCGCTTGTTTGCGCGGTTCTTCTTGGCGGAGAGCATGGTGGCGTAGGGCAGAAAGGGAGAGGATGAAAGGGGGTGGGGGACCGGTGATTCCCGGAACGGCGACGAAAGCGACAGGGAGCGAGAGGACGGGAGGGGGAAGGGAGAGCGGCGTGGACTGCGAAAAGAAGGCGGGGAGAGGCAGGAGGAGAGGGGAGGGAGCTGGTATCGCGCGCAGATGGTCCCGCGCCGATGTGCATGGTGCCCGAAAGAGGTACTCAGGCGGGTGCGATCGCTGGCCCTGGTACGCGCAAAAAAAAAAAAAAAGAAAAAAGGCGCGGAAGATCTTCTCCCCTACTCTCCCCACGGCCGCGCCGCCGACTCTTTCCCGGCCGTGTGCGTGCATGTGCGTGTGCGTGTGCACTCTGCACGGCTGACCACCTCTGCCACCCGTCCGGGCCTCCCTCTCTATGCAGCAGGGCCGCTCCCCAACGCGGCCCGCGCGGAGGGGACCAGGCCGCCCCCTCCAGCCAGCGCGCCCGGGCCCGGTCGCTTGGGCCCCGCCAGCATGGGTGGCCTCAGTGGTCCACGCACAGGGGACGGCGGCGGCCATGCGAAGAACGCACGTGATGAGCACATCCGGCGGGAGCTGTGCTCAAAGGGGCGATGCGGTGGGAGGTGATCCGCCGGCCAATCGGACCCGGCTTCGGGGCAGGGGGGCGGGGCGCAGAGATACAGAGACACCAGGGAGGGAGTAGTGTATATTGTCCAAGGACGGGGAGAGACTGTGAAGCGAGAGACGTCCAGGCCAGGGAGCAGGGCAGCATGGTGGAGACGAAGGGCGGAAGGAAGGGGCGGGCGGACGGGCGGACGAAATGAGGAGGGAGGCAAGGGGTCCGGCAGGGACAACACCGCGGAGGCCTCTCTACGCGCTGTTCTCGGCACAGATCTGGCGGAGGCGGAGCAGGAGAGGAAGGCAGGGGGGAGGGGGAGGGCGAGCGTGCGAGGTCAGTACCGGGAGGGGGTGGGGCGAAGGGGGGAGAGCAGTGGCGGCGATGGTCTTGGTGTTGGCGACAGCAGGAGCAAGCGCAGTGCCGGGCAGGTACCTTGTCGGCGGCCTCGAGCGAAGCGATCAGGGTGTCCAGCTCCTGGGGGCCCAGCTCCAGAAGGGCCCCCTGCTCGGCGGAGTTCGGAGACACGAGGTTCAGGCTGAGGCGCACAAGGGAGGCGTGGTGGATCTTGTCGACCGCCGGGAAGACCACGGCCTGCAGTCGGAGGATGGGGGGGTTCATGTCGGTGTCAGGGCCGGGGAGCCAAATGCACGGGGGAGAGAAGGCGCCGGGGAGAGGAGACATGCAACTAGAGGAGCAGGCGACGGGCGCGCCCGAGGGATTGAGGAAGACGCACGCGATGCTCCCAGTCGAAGTCACGGAGCTGCAGGCTTCCGGTCACGGTGGCCGGAGTCACCAGGGCCGCGGAGGTTGGGACATACTCCTGCCGGCGCGAGCAGATAGACCGGGCCAGGAGCTTGAGCGAGTCATTCGAAAGAATGCCCGGGCCGCTGTAGAAGGCAACAGCCAGGCCGAGGAACTGGGCCGAGGGAGAGGAAGGTCGTGCGGAGTGGGGGGGGGGGGGGG